GGCCCGTACAGCCCCTGCCACGACACACAGCTATGCTTAAAATACATATAAAGCATCTTAATTTGCTACAAGTGTCCATGCTGTGGCTGTGTCTATATGTGCATGTTGCTACATACATGTATATTTATAAAAATCAATATAGTGAAATACAACATTACGTACACAATTGTAGAGCTGTTGCAAGGTAGCAAGGTATCTTGGGAAGCTCAGCTGATGAGGTTGCATCACCAATTATACACCATTTTCCATATAACTCTCCTACTAAAGTAGACACTTTCAGTAGAGCAGCTGCCAAGGGTGGGACTCCCAAAAAGTCCATCTTGCACAGGCAGACACAGCACTCCCTCACTGATGGCAGCCCCCCCTCCCATACAGCAGCAGGCAGCCATTAAAACTCACCCCACAGCAGGGCATCCAGCCCCCACGGTGTGGCCCAGGCTCAGCGCCCCCACCGCCTTCCTCCCCTCCCAAAAAAGGGGATGGCCCAGCCCTGGGGCCCAGAATCAAGCAGCTATCATCAAAATGGGGATAGGAGAGGAAAATGGTGCTGGCAGTGCTTCCCCATCAATTTTCCTCGCCTCTTTTCCTCCTTGGCTCCCTGCTTGGAGAGCCAAGAGCTGCTCACAGCCCTCCTACACAGCAGAAGTTATTTGACCTGTTCGCAAAGTCTCCATCACTAGAACTCTGGGCTGCACATTGCTTCTGTGTGGTTTATTGTCAGAGCTAGTTTATGACTTCTGTAATGATAAAGAGCCTCTGGCTAATGGCATTAAAAAATGCATCCAAAAAGATACGCCGGAGGCACCTTTGAACTACACAGGCTTCCAACAAGCCCCTTTGAACAGGATGATTTTCCCAAGTGAGGCAATGTGTTACGTAAAAGATACGTTGTGGACGCTGACTGCAGCTTACATTGGAGTCCCTGCAACCAAACAACAAAGAAAACAACCTCATTCAAAGTCCATATTCAATACTTTGGAGTCCAGCACATCTACTCAACCAGGCTTACATACATGCGCTACAAAACTTCTCCGAACTAGCTTCAATGCAGTTAACAAGGGCATTAGAAACAGAGATCTTCTTATGCACGTAATGGATCCTGGCTGAATACATACTTGGAGAGTTAGCTTGAAAATCAGGTTTCACTGAAAAAGACATTTTCATCTGGAAGTTTTGGACTAGCAGTCTGTATTTCTTTATAGATCCTAGAAATGTGTACTTCATTATATCTACCCAAACTTGTCTTTTTCCTGTTCACACAGGGCAGTTCTGAGATGGCTACCAAAAGGGCTTTTGGTCTTCCCTGTGAAGTAGGCAGATGGCATCAACCTGGCAACGAACAAGAAACAGGCACTGTAGGTTTCTGATCAGCTCCTGAAAGAAAACCCAGCTGTGGCTACACTGTTGTCAAAGACAGGGAGGGGTCATCCTGACTTGTAAAAGAGGTTTTTGTTTGGGAACATTAACATTTTCTTATTACTGAAGGGCACTTACCTCACAGAATGCCTACAGTCTCAACTACATGTCCTCCGTAGCAGTATGTACCTCTAACAACTGTCATCCTTAACAGACAGAATGTATATGTATTTTAGAGACTGGAGTTTCACAAAGTGTGTTCATGTCTCCAGTTACCCCAGATATACACTCATGCTCCCTCCCTCAATATAAAATGTCTGTCTGGTGTCTTATTACTTACAGTCCTGCTGCAAGCACCTTGTATTTATGATCTTTCAGCTCAAGCACTCATTTTCACTATTTGAAAACAGCTTCTATGCTTATACATAGCATAGAACACTGAACTTTAAAGAATTAAAGATCCATTCGAGCTCTAGAGAACTGCCTCTTTAAAATTCCTACTTCATCATCTAGTCCCTCGCAAAAATAAAAACATAATTCTCCTTAGTCTCTTTTCAGCTATTCCTTAGAGTTGCCAGGAGGTGGAAACGTAGCTACACCAACCTACAAGAGAAGCATCATGTTGATCTGTGATTGTACAGCATGCTGCCTGCTGAAAAACAGCACTAAAAATATCTGCAGTCTGAATTGGCTCAGTGGAGCCCAAAACATAGGATCACGCAATGCTCTGCCTGGGCCCCCCAATCTCCCCTTTCCCCCAGCTAAGCGAGACATCGATACTGCTTGTTGCTGCCTCTCAGTGTCACGGATGTCCTTTAAGCAGCTGGTTCTGTCAGCTGGAACATGCAGGTTTATTTCAACAGGAATCCAAAATCAGGCTGCCTTTGATGGAAAGGCTCACAAAGCAGCAGCAATCGCAGCCCCTTCGGCACTGATAAACAATCAGTTACCTGGCAAAGTGATGAGGAGGTAAACGATCACTTGAGTTATTTATTTAGAAGATACGTGTCTGCTTTGACATGCAAAAACATTACACACGTGCCCAAGTGTGAAAAACATGGCAGAGGTCAGAAGCGCTCATCAGACAAGCTTTAGTAACCACAGAAACAGATGCAGATGTAACCCTCTTCCTTTTGTCACTTGGTACCAGATATGAAGTCCTAAGAGAGAGCCCCTTACACAAAAGGCAAATTTACATAAACACATGGAAATGGGGAGAGGGACACACCACTGTTAAAAGACAGTGGACAGAATAGCCTTTCGGAACACCCCACAGTTAGGGTAAAACATTGTGCCTGGGTTTGGTTTCTGTTTGCAGAACAGTGAGATTGACTTGATTTCTGCTTCTTGTGCATCCCCCCACTGAGCTCATGCTGCTGAGAGTCGAATAAGGGCCTCCAGCTTTCTCAGAGCAAACTGAAGCACGCAGAGGATAAACCAGAAATATGTCAGAAGACATTTTAGAGGAGAGAAGAACCCAGGAAATCCTTCTTTGCAGAGAGAGCTGTAGCAGAAAGGGCAAACCTCCCCGCATGGGAGGCAGGTGCCAGAAAGTACAGCTGGAAAGAAACCATCTCGATTTCAAAGAGCACAACACTGAGAAATCTGTTGCCTCAATGAGGGCAAAACCTGGAAGAACTGACATCAGATGCAAGAGAATTTCAACTCTAGGACTAGAAAAGGCATGAAGAAATTCTTCCTCTCTGCCTAGGAGGTAGATGGGGTTAACAGGTGAAGTGAATAATCCCAATGAATCAGTACCAGGAAGTCCAAGGTAAGTCCCCCGAAATCTCAGTGTGCCGTGAAACACAGTGTGAATCCCAGACATCGATCATGCGCAATAAAATGAAGTTGTTCTCACAGCATCTCAGGAATATTATCTTGTTCCAGTAAAGCAACTCAGATTTCACAAACAGAATCTTCACAGCATGAGTCCTTGGGTGGAAAAAAAGACACACAGAGTAAAAAAAAAAAGAAAAATCTACCGCTGTTCAGGAGCAAAATATACCAATCCAAATCAATAAATCATGAGCTTATTCAAGAAGCAACTAATGCAAGACCACATCTCAGAGGTTATATTGAGGGGTCATCTGGCCAAGAAGAGAGACTTTCGCACATCTAATTCAACTCCCTAAGCTCAGGCTCAGTATTTAATTTGCAAGATGCCTGATGTCACATGAGCACACAACTACATATTCCCAAAAGGTCATACAGGAGGCATCTGAAGTCCATAAAACAATGGTCCTGTGCTCATTCAGTGTGCTCTGTCTTGGCACGACCAGGAATTGGACACTGAGCCAGGTGACTTCTGTGGATGTTGGCCAGAATCAGCTCAGCTGCACCTTCTGCAGAATCGCTCAAAACTGAAACCAATGCAAGTTAGTTGGGGTCTTTTCACCTTCCTGCCTGGGGAGTTTTAGCCCACTAACCTCTATGGAATTGTTACAGTGGGAAAGGGGGAGTCATTAAACATAAGGGCCATACCAGAAATCCGCCTGTGAGACTTGAGATTTTATAAAATCAGTCACAAGCTCTATCTTCAGAAAAGAGATAGACAGACAGATGTTCTTACCTTTGACATACAGAGTTATCCAGGTTATCATGACCACAGCCCACATCTTCTCCAGCTCGGAATCCACCCTCAGAGCTTTGTTCCATTCCAGGTCACGCTCAGTCCTCTCTGCGGTATTGACAAAACTCACACTTGATATAACAATGACCAACATGCAAATAAAAGCTTGCAGAACTGCAACTTTCCTTACCTAATACTTAGTGGCAAAGAGATGAGTGAAGGTGTAATTTTTATTTTATTTTTAGTCAAAATATGTTGAAGAAAACTTTAAGAATATAATCCCTACATTTTAACAAAGCTGGGAGAACAGCTTGGAAGGAATATAAGCTGGTTTCTCAGCCTGACCCTGATCAAAACCAACCTACAAAGCTCTAGTAGCTCACTACCACCGCAACCACCAGATGAGAATCTTGACTCATTGGGCCAAACAGATATTCCCTTCTGCTGGGGGCTCAAATCACTTGGCACAAGTAGAGGACACGATACCATATGATCGGTTAAGACCTGTATAAAAATGATTGCACAGGGACACTGCCACTGTACGTTTCACCCCTCCCAGTATTTCTGCACAATACTTTTCCTCTTCTAAGTAATGAAGCATGAGAAAAAAAAAAATCACCTCAATAAGAACAAAATAATTCACAGTGGTGGCTGCCACATCTCAAGTCCCACTCCCTGTAAGCACCAATCCTCCCTGAGGTCTACATATACTGCAGTGAATTCAAGAGGCGATACAGCTAGACTGTTTGCATACACAAAGGTCTCCATTTAAAAAAATACATAGAACTCGATTTTAGAGAAAATAACTTCACCACCCGTGAATGTAGCTAAGGCTATAAACCCAGAACAGATGCTAGGTGAACGGGCACAGACCTGCATCTAACCCAAGACTAACATTTTCCCACACTATTTTTTCCACCCAATTTCTTTCAGCTCTGGAAACAGTGCTCGGAGTAGAAATCCCATGGGAAATTATTCCCATTAGCTCAGAGAGATCCGCAGCCAATCTAAAACAAATCCCCAACATTTTTCACATGTCAGTCTTGCATTTAGCACACATAGACAAAGAGACAGAGGAGTATGAAACTTATTCCACATGTCACAGTGTGGCAGCAACCATTTTTAGTTTCATGCCATAGGAGGAGAGAATGCATCTTCATGAACAGAGTTTTTTGTCACACAGAAATCTTGCTTCAGAGGCAACCAGGTGATCTCCCAACTCCCTCTGCAAGGAAGCTCCTGGACACACAGATCTTACCTGTAACGTTCACTCTAATGAAGTGGCCCACAGCAGTTAGGACAGTAGTGTTAATTTTGGCCCTGCACTGGTAGAGGCCACTGTCTGACTGGCTGACATTCCGAATCGTCAGAAGCAGAGAGGACGTGACTTTCGCCTTGGGGTCTGAGTTTTGTGCGAGGTGCAAGCTTTCCATCTCCTTTCCAAACCCAGTCTCGTTTTGCTGCTTTGCTTTCTTATACCAGTGAGCCTCCATTTGTGACGACTGGTCCTGTTGGTGCTTGATGTGGCAATTCAAACACAGGGTGTCTCCTTCTTCCAGGTATTTTGTGGTGGGTGCGTAAATGATTTCCAGCATGCCATGTTCTGTGGTGGAAGAGAACAGACATCAACTGAACTGACCTTTGTGCCAGGCCAGCTCCCCCTCCCTCGCCATATTTCACCATTTCTTTATGCCTTGTGAAAGCAGGAGCTATCTTATGCTCCAGATGTGCACAGAGTGCCTAGGATAAGAGGTACCACAATAAAACCAATACTTTTTCCCCCTCATGCAAGAGGAAGAAAAATCTCTGTTTCCTATCATAGATCTTGCAGAAAAGGCATTATGCGAACAGAATATTCTCTATAAGCATTGCTATTTTCATAAAAATGGAAGATGAGAAAAGCATCCTTTCTTCAAAACAGAAAGCAAAAGCATCAGGGGAGAAGGATATTTGGGGGGGGTGGGGAGGTGGGGGGGGTGTTTGGTTTTTCTCTCTTCAACTTGAAGGTTTTTGCTTTCATCAAATATTGAACTATTCCATAGAAAGATAATATGAAAATACTGATTGGTTCAAAATGCAGCTCTTTGGGAATCAGATGTCGCCTCCTAGCTCCCTGGGCAAAATTCAGCATGAAGAAAACAAAAGGCTGAAAAACATCATGCAGAACATGCCCCGCTGGAAGTTTATTGCAATAGATATTCTTTCTTTCCCATAACCCAGGCAGCATCTCTCTCAGCCACACCAAGTAACTCCTAATCAGGATTAAAAACATTCCAACAGCATGCTTTTCCTTGCCAGGGCTCCTCCTTACCTGATACCAGCATTGCCAGAGCTGCCATTTGGAACACCAGAGCAGGGCTGCTGCCTCCAGCCCTAGCGAGGAACCCTGCGATCAGAGTCATCTTCTGCACTAAAAAAGGAAAGAGAAGGGAAAAAAAAAAAAAAAATCACAGGCAGTTATCCGTGAGTCCTTCTCATGGTACAGAGGAGAACTAGCATTGCTTAGCTTGGTACTGCAAGCCCATCTTAGCACTTACAGAGCAGTCAAAAGTGCAGACCTTCCCCTGAAGCGATGAGCTTGTAAATGGCAAAGCAACCCTCTGCATGTAAATAAGATGGAGACATGAAAGCACATATCTCCTTTCAAAAAAAAAACCAAAAAAAAACCAAAAAACAAACAAACAAAAAAAAACCAAAAAAAAAAACCAAACAAAAAACAAGCAACAAACTGACAAGATGACAGATACCACAAACCAGAATGTAAACTCAAGTTGCAAGCAGCAGGCTTATTGAGGGTCAGCCAGCACTATCTAAAACAGCTGAAAGTTGGGACTTAGACCACAATCACACAATTATTGCTGCAGTCTACTGTGAATTGAACAACTGTCCACAAATTCCTAAAAGCTAGCAAAATTCTTTTGTAATTGTTTCTCCTCTTCAAGAGGGCACCTGCATCAAATTATTTGGCTAGCACAGCCAAGAGCCTGGCTCCCAGCAAACTGTCTCAGAAGGTTAAAATGAATGTACAGAACAACAGGCTACTGACCTCTTTTTTTCAAGGACAAAAAAAATAGTTCAATTCTTGTTACTAATGTTACTGTATTTTTACTCTGAGTAGGAGAACGTGGATGTGGGCATCAGGAAAAGAATAGACAAATTCTGAAGAAAAAAAAACTTACCACAATATCCTCCTGTTTGAGATTAGTGTTAAGAGGCAGGAAAGCTTCTTTCTTTACTTCAGAATATAGATTTTCCTTTTCCCTAGAAAAACAAAGCTGTTTTTAGAAATGTCTCCAAGTGCCAGACCAGCAGGTGGAGGTCGGCACACTGCTGGGAAGGAGAAAAGCGAGAGTGGTTTACTTGGCCTCCATTTTCCAAATGGGTAGGTACCTTGAAAGATTCTGAGGTAAATAAGTAACCAAAAATCAAAACGTTTGGGATTTTTTTGCTTGGCATTTAGTTTTTCCCCCCCTTTCACCTACCACCTTCAACCAAGACATGGAAGAAAGCCATGGACTTCTGGGTGTTCCATTGTCCAGTGCCTGTAATTTGTGTACTTGCATGAGTTAAATCAGTTCTTTTGGGTATGCTCTGATCTTTGTCTTGGTAGGGGAAGACAGCAAAACAGTGGGAGTGAAAATGACAGCCAAGTATTTATCTGCACTTTTCTATACTGCAAAGAAATTCCTGCGTAGGCTGTACTTGCAAGAAGTTGAGTGTCTGGTTGGTTTCTGTGTTATTCTAACTACAATATCTGTTCTTCACTTATTCTTATCTTTCCGCTCTTTACTGGCTTTCTAAAAGGGTCCCCATACACTTTCTGGTGTCAAGCTTCCAGTGGTGGGTCAGCTACCCAGGACCAGGAGATGTTATTGGCTTTTACCAGCTAAGGCCGGCCAAGCTAACATTGCCTCTCTTAGATGACCGAGTAATTTTTGGACACTTAAAAGACTCCAAAGAGGTTTCATTTTCAGAGTGCAGACAAGAAGCATGAGCCCAGTTGCTC